GTTCAACTCAGCCTTCAAACCTCCGCAAGAAAGCCCACCATGCAGTCATGCCGCCGCGCGAGTGGTCACATCATCCTCACGGCGGACGTTGGTAAGGAAGATGAAGCCTGGGGCTTTCAGACCCGCATGCTTAGGCTCACCTAGATCACCTGGCCATGATGCTGCCCTGCGGACTTGCGACAGAATCACAAGATGAAACTCCAGGCGTGCAAACGAGATAGTCCTGTCCTTACTGCCTTACTTGTGCCAGAACACAATCGAAGCTGGCGGCGGCTTGCGGCTGATAAAAACATGTGCGCTGCACGGCAACCCAAAACCCAAAAACAGAGCCTTGAATAGGAGCCCATTTTCACAACTTGGATCAGTACGAATCCATCGTGCCGCATGCAACGCGGACCAAGCTGCGCATAATGTCTCCAGACTCATACCACTGGTGTGGTGGAAGGCGCTTCACCTGAGCACTGGTTCCATGACCGGCCTACGAGCTCCTCAGACTGTGACTGCGTCTTGATGCAAATAGCCACCAATCTGTCGAAAACCTGGCTCCGAGGTCCTTATCCCTGAGTAGCCAGGATGCTTCGCGACGGACGCGAGCCGTCTCACGGCGCTTCATGAAGTTATACCTTGGGTCTATACTGCCTCTCAGGTGTCTTGAGAAGGAAGACAGACCCCAAGAAGTTAGAAGCAGTCGTACCTTTTGTGGCACCCCTGCCACTTGCCCCCAAAACTACGAATAGCAATGAACCGCTCTGAAATTTCATGAAGCTTGATCATGAATGACTGCCAACCAATATTTGTTGCCTCCCACCTTGCTAGGACAACCAATATTATTCCTCAGGGTTACAGCAAAGAATGCACTAGACTGTACCCCAAAACCCCGTTCCAACTGTCAAGGCCCCTGTATCAACTACAATCCTCAGCTGCTCGAGAAATTTGTCTGAAAGGCAAATCCGCAACTTGCGGAAGATGTAGACATAGACCAAGAGGTATGCCTTTGCATGGCAGGGCTTAGGGCTCCTGTCTACGGATGGAAGCACCTCACGGCCAAGTGAAGGCTTTTAAGCCTTTTGTGGGGAGTCTTGATGCTGAGGAGGACAGGGACAGTAGCGGCAGCATGCAGCAGACTCCGCCGTCGTCGTAATGATGGACGTGTGGAGTCGTAGTTTTAGTAGATACCAATCACAGAGCGGCTGTCAACATGCCACATGTCTGCTCGGTCGCAAACATTGCTGCTGGGGCGAGCTTGCTATCACGACGACTCATCGGCATGTTAAGATAGAGTAATTACATCCATCAACCCATCCATCCATGCATGCATACGCACGCGAAGACAAACAGGCAAGCACGCAGGCAGGCAAACACGTGTACATATGTATAAACATTTTGCATAACTACATAATTACGAACATACGCTACATACATGCATGCATGCAGGCATACCCGCTTACGCATTTCCGGAAACAGACGAAGGGACGGACGGACAGACAGACAGAGGCCTACCTACCCACCGACCTACCTGCCTACGGACAGACGCAAGTATGTGCACTCAGACAGACAGGTAGGCAGGCAGGCAGGCAGGCAAACAGAAAGACAGACACATGTACCGGCATGCATAATATGAACAAACACACTCAGAGACAGATAGCGCGACAAACCGACAACCAGACAGACAGACAGACGGACAGAGACAGAGGCAGAGAGACAGACAAACAAACAGACAAACAGACAGACAGACGGACGGACGGACAAAGAGACACAGACACAGAGACAAACAAGTAGACCCTGCATGTGTACATACAATGCCATCCATGCACGCGTACATACAATGCACTACGGTTCAAGACAAGACAACACCAACATAACATCGATAACACAAGTAAAATTGGTAAGATGGATAACGCAGATAACATCGACAACATAGTCGGCATAGATAAAGTAAAATACACAACGGACAGACAGACAGGCAGGCAGGCAGGCAGGCAGGCAGGCAGGCAGGCAGGCATACGCACGTACATAATCCGTACATTTCATGCATACATGTATACATACATTGGCACACATGCATTGACATACTACATGCATTGACAAACAAACAAACAAACATACATACATACATGCATACATACCTAACACACGTACAAGCAAACCCAGAAACATACATGCAAACATATATGCATGCCTACGTACGTAAGTCATACACACGTACGTAAATACGCACGTACATACACTCATACATTACTTACTTGCTGGCTTACTTACGTAACATACATAGTTACAGAGATATACAGATTCATACAGAAACCTGTGCTGATGGATACAAGCAAACACACACACATACACACATATTGTTTTGTGTGTATGTGTCTGTGTGTTTCTGCCTCTGCCTGTCTGCCTGTACGTTCGTATGTATGCGTATGTATGTACTATCTACGTGCATAATCCATGTATCTAGCTGTGTGTATATACATGTATGCATATATATATATACACGTGTGTATTTACTTTGGCTATATAGGTAAATTACGTGTGTGCGTATATATATATATTTATTTATTTATATTTATATTTATTTAGTTAGTTAGTTATACACCTACATACATTTTTAGCACTCGCACTCGACGATACATACATACATACATACATACATACATACATACATACATACATACACTCACATGTACACACATGCAGCACAGGTCTTTTGATGGCCTGCCGTCCTCCAAAAAACGAAAATTTGCGAGCCCATTGGATCTTGATTCGGCGCACGTGGTCATGCAATTCAGCAAGCCCAGGATGCCACCCTGTCACAACATCCAGCCGCAATGGGCTTCACACGTGATGGGAAAATTGAAATTAAAACGGCTCCGTTGCTCTCAAGTTGCATACATGTGGCACGATCCGAAAAGCCGGAGTCGTAATTCCAGCATCCAGTCGCCACAGTGTGCACAGCCGCTGTATACCGTCTTCACTATTCCGACGATGCCTTGCTAGGGCTTGTAATTACATGTCAAGCAAAACGAGGAGCGCAACATGCCGATGCAAACTGTCTTCAGGGGAAACCAATTCTACGAGCAGATGGCTGCTGCCCGAAGTATTAGCTTGTCCTTGACATGCTGGATGGCCAGCAGCACAACAACAGGGGCTTGGATTTGCAGGCGGGGGGGTTGTTCGGACTTCCGGTCGCTTTCTGGGTGCCACTATAAGGTTGTCAAAAGTTTTTGTTCAATCACATCGCGAGATTCAATAAGGACGACAATGAGATTGAAGTCTTCTCCCCCGCATGTTGAAAGCTTAAACAAAACTTGTGAACGACACCCTTTGTCTGGGCGGGTAGCCGGTCAAATGCGAAATCTCGACTCCCAGAACACACAAGCTTCAGCCGTCACGTCTTCTGCATTCGAAGAGAAGCACAGCTTGTCACATTGTCAACTATGTAGTTCATTCATGAACAGCTTGCTGGTGCATCGCGCCAAATGGCATGGTTGAGCTTCGGTGTCCCAGACAACAAACCCTTCCGAGCAGTGGGACCAACCTGCCCCACAAAGAAAGGGCATAGGGCCGGAGGCCACAGGCTACGGGACTTTCGACCCCATCATGACGCAGACATATGGACATATTGAGCAGGGCCGGAGGCGGCCGCAGCAAGGGCATGGACTGGTCAAGCGACAGGTGTCCGACTGGTGTCCGCTTTTAGATGAACAGGTTAGCTACTGCTAGCTGATGCTTATTCATCCAAAACACCGAGGCTCGAAACCAAAATGCCTGAACTTCCACCCGGCTCAACGATGGTGGAGAGCCCCTTGTCCGTGCATGTTGTGAGGGTTTGTGTTGTGGCCCATCCTCTGAGCTGCATTCCTGGGAAGGTTTCTGCGTGTTCCTGCTGTCTGAAAATGGCGAGGCGCAGGTGTTCAGAATCTGCGGACTGTCAGCAGGGTGTTGCTTAAGGACCTGGGTGAACCCTCGATGTTGATGTCGGTCGGCCTCAACGCTTCCAGAGCCTTTGGTGGACTCTGCTGCCCTACAGTCGTTCGGGGGGCTGACCGGATTGAAGCACAAGGGGCTGTTTCTGCTCACCATTCAAGCCTTCCATTTAGCCGGTGCAAACTGAAGTGCATTCCGGTACAGGGTTTGGACTATCTCCACACAGTTCAGGGAGTAGTGACTTGGTGTGTGCCTCAGACGCGACTCGTGTCCTGTGCAAAGAATGGGCTTTGGCTTTGGTGGCGAGTGTTTCGCGAGTTCTGGCAGTGGGGGGCCTTGCTCAGACACCAGTGTCACAGAACCATCCATCGAATCGTACAAGCCGCGGATGACTTCAAAAAGTGCTGTGCAGCTCTGCAATGTGACGCAGCATGAATATCATGCAGGGTACTGAAAACAATTGGAAGGCACCGCCAAGGTGCCTTCTTCCCCGTCCACTCACACTATGCGACTCGCCAAGAAGGTAAACAGGTAATTGGGGTTTGCACTTGGTGACTTTGGCTTCCGGGGCCTGCTGGAAGCTGGGCAGAAGGCGTTTACAGTAGCGAAAGGTGCTCACTGACAGTGACTTGGACCGACGACGTCACGACTTTCATCAAAAGATGACGTGGCCAGGGCCACTGCCGACAGCCGAGACAGGAGGCAAAGTCGCAGGGGTCTCTCTGACCGCTTCAACTGTGAGCCATTCGACGATGGAATGGCGCCACAAACACAAGACACCTAGCAGCAGCAGCACTGCCCAGACCAGCTCATGAAGCACCTCGACGACATCCTGAACATTTCATTCTTGGAATTCCGAGGCGGGGTGTCGCAGCTGGCCAGCTAATTGTAAACCTCCGTGTTGCCGCATCCGTGGGTTCTTTTCTGCCTGTCCGCGAGACTGTGACACAGATCCGAACTCGAAGTCAGTCAAACTGAAACCAATCAAAACAGAAGATAACGGAAACCCTAAACCGTAGGGATAACCCTGAGCAGCACTACATGCATATACGGCATTCTCATAAGGAGGCTCGCGCGTCCTCTGCGAGCGAGCTGGCAGCGAGGAGGTTCTTGATCATCACGTTGGACATGTCCTTTAGCGTGAAAGCAGTTTTAGTGCGAAGGAACCCTGAACCCTAACCCTAGGGTTTATAGGGACCATGAAAGGAGGAAGATGATCATAAATCAGACCAGGTTTAGGCTTTGGATTCATCGCAGTCGGGTCAAGAAGGCAGGTTGCCAAGGTTCGACACGGTGAGTTCCTAGAAGTTTGTTGCTGAAGGTCGCTTCTCCTGGGAAGCTCAAGGGCTTTGGATTATGTTTCTCTTCTCAGGTTTTTCGCGCATTGCACGCCCGATTCTCGATATGATGCCCCATGGCCTTACTCGTCATGGAGTTACCCTGATGGCCTTCTCCAGGTTGCATCGTGGTATGATGCGTGGGGTGCTCTTTTTATAAGTTGAGCAGCTACACAAAGAAAGTCGCACACCCCCTAGGTAGATCCGACTCCCAAATCGAAATCGATTGCAATGGAGAGCATCGACCGCCGCGAACATCACCAAAATGACCAGCACGCAGAAGCTGTTCCTGATCGTATGCCGGTTCATGACACCGAAACGGCAAGCATGAGCTCTGCAGACTGGGTTAAGTCATGATGAAGCCTGACTGCAAAGCTTGGACGGTCACGTCGGTTTTCAGGTCTCTGGTTCAAGGCTCGAAGGGATCCAGGATACCGGGTACCGGAATTAGGAGTTCAGGGATCTCAAGGCTCTGTGTTTCGGCTTTACGCTGCAAACCTTGGGGGTGTCCTTTTTCAGCACTCAAAATCCTGAGCTTCAAGGTCCTTGTAGGACCACTTGTTCCTGGGAACACCTGTGTGGATTTCAGAGTACAGCTGTTCCTTCATGCTGTGATACTTATGCTCTTCTGGGGGAGGGCCTTGAGCATCTCGCGCGTCGGGTTTAGCAACTTGTAACGATACGTCCCTGCTCGCTACACCAACTGCCTGCCCGCAAGATTGGCTAGCAGCTTGTCTGTTTCCCACCTTACCGATGCAGGAGGCAGGCCATCTTGCGAGACTCATGGGAGATACCCCACAAGACTGCCGGTCCCACCCTCGACTGCAACCTTGAGGCGTACCTTCAAAGGTTTATAAGGTTATAAGGTTTAGAGGGTTATAAGTCCCAAAAGAAAGAGGGGCTCTGGAAGTTAAAGAGCTCAAAGCTCGAAAGCCAAGACTCAAGAAGAAGTCGACAACGCAGCCGCGGCGTTTCCGCATGCAGAAAACCAGCTTGAACCTGTCTGGAGGTCAGGGCTTCGCAGGGCATTGGAGCTCATTAGTCTTAGTGTTACTACTTTTTTGTTGCTAGAGTATCGGTCATTGGGCATTATTGTGTTATTGGCTGCGATGCAAGGGAAACACGCAACACGCACATGCCGCTTAGAGGTATTTGCTGTGCTTCTGTGGTTGAAGTGACGAAACATACGACCTCTACAGCACATCCCACCTCCGATTTCACTTCGTTCGCAAAGGACGAACCATGGTAACATTTGTTCCCCCCCCCCCCCCCCAAACCATCCATGGCCCAACTATGATGACGTCCGTAGGACCATTGCATCCGTTTGCTCTGAACCATCACGTCCGTTCCCCCCAATCCTGCATGCCCCACCATGATGACTGCCGCGGGCATGATGACGTCCGTGGGGCAAGTGCATGCGTTTGGTCTGCTTGCCCCAAGCCATGATGACGTCCGAATGCCCCAGATATCCACGGCCCAACTATGACGATGTGCCTGCAACATCATCCGTGGCCCAACCACGATGAAGTCCGGGTGGGACCAGTGCATCCGTTCGACCAAAACATGATGACATCCGCGGGACATGCATCGTACAATCCGTTGAAGTCACACACCCACGCGGAAAAGAAGATAGGAACAAGCCGTGAACATATTTTTAAAATCGACTTTCCGAACCGTAGAAATGGCAGGCACGCGAAACTTCGCAAAACAAACCGACGCTTTCGGCACATCACACAAGCGAAACACTGTAAATACCGATACGTACGACATGTGCGCTCGTGTCGTCATTGCGTCGGAGAGTTGTTTCTTTTGCAGGCCATGCACAGGCTCGGCAAACTTCGGGATAAAGCGACACGGAAACGAGATGCATCCACCGTGGGGAAAGTGTTCAAGCTATAGTAGCTATAGGATGGCTTTAGGGTTTAGGGTAGTCTGCTTTTAGGTTTAATTGGGGGTTCAGGGCTTCGGCTCTCACAACTCGGAGATTCCAGGCGAGGCGCATGGTGACGAGTCACTGGTGAGACAATTGGTAGTGGGAACTGAGATGACAAAGCCTACACGGCCTTCCGGGTTTAGGCTTTAGGGATGGCAGGCAAAAGCTGGAGCAATGCTAATGCTGCAAGGTTACGTCACGGCCAGGATTAACGGAAGCGCCAGAAGCCAATATGCCAGCAAATAGACGGTGTCTCGAACGAAGAGGGTGTAATCCTGAGAAATCCGGCAGGCTGCTCTTTATCGGTGCATACACCGTGCCAAAGCACTCGCACACTTACGCAATCAGCCGCAATCACGCACGCACGCACGCACCCCCCCACCCACCCACCCACACCCACACCCGCACCCACACCCGCA